CCTCCGTCCTTCGTTGTAGGTGGAGGACAGGACGAGACCCAGAAAGGGCCAGGATCGTAACTAGTGTACCACGCGTACTTCTCTCATTGATATCGGTATACTTTGCGTCTCGTGTAGACGTGTAAATCTTCTATGTGGGTGCAACCTATGTAACATGACCCATGAGAACTTACTATTCTCCAATACCGTGTCAATGTTTCACGTTACAACAAACAAATCGAAATCAGAATTTGTACGAGTATCAAAACAGATTTTTAAATAATAGTTTTTAATTAAGGAATATATTATAAAGTGTATGAAAAATCCCATACATACATATTTATATCACAAAAAATTTTATATTAATATTTTAATTCGATTGTTTTGTAATAATTGCATTTTTGTATCTAATTAATTATTCTTTTCTTTTGAAATAATAATATGATGTAAATGTATCGATTATATGCCGATAAAACACAATTACCGCTAAATGTAATTATTCCAAATATGATAAGTAAATTATGTGACATGATTAAATTATTGCGCGCGCCCCGAATTAATTCCAATAATAATTTCATTCCATTAATCTTTATAATTTATTAAAATAACATTGTTCAATCTTTTAAGTTCTTTAACAAACAAATAATTCAATTAAAATCTAATACGTTAAATTTGATCTGACTGATTATGTTATCATCTGGAGATTGTAATACTTATAAAATTAATCTTACTGAACCATAACATTATCGTTATTAAACCGGATTTCAATTAAATAGTCATATATATGAATTCTCCTACAGTCGTAGTGGAAGACAGTAGTTATGTGTGAAACAATGTCGCTGTTCACAAGCTCGGTTGTCATGATGTATCAACAAGAAGGAACATTATCACCGCTTGAAAAGCTTTAGCATGAAGTTTCTACAAGCAGCAACTATCAACTCGAGGTGACTGTTTTAAAGAGGGGATCCAAGTTGTTTCGCACTATGGCAGGGAAAGGAGTAGGTCGCCGATTTAATGGAACCACGTAGTCGGACAGCATCGATCCCACATCCACCTTTCATCTTTAAAAGAGAGCAACTCAACCACGAAAATGCTCTGACAATCTTTCCATTCTTCATCTCTTGAGAAACTAAAATCGAATTGACAATCCGTGTAACGTTCGGAAAAGGATTTGTCTAAACATATTATACTATTAAAAATTTGTTAACATTAATTTACTGTGATATCTCGTTTCCCCTCTTCTGTAGAAATTTCTCATATTAAATGTAACATATTTTGTTAAACATTTCATAGTAAGTACATTTTAATAGGTATTTTTATTGGGTCTTTAGAAAGTTCCAATACCTTCGATAATTAATCATTGGCAATTTCTATAGAATTTATTTCCTGTCAAAAGTTAAATTGCTATGTTATAATTAATAACTATTTATGCTCCTTTTTGCATTATTTTTTACATGTGAATTTCATGATGTACAACACATTTCTACGCGCATTTAATTTCACAATTTATTTATTCACAAATTTATTACGACATCGTCAAACACAAGAACTTTTTTTTGTAGATATATTAAATATAAAAGGCAAAGAATAAAATAAAGAACTGGAAACATAAATGAAAATTTTTTATAAGATATAATATTGTTTACAATCTTTTAATTATGCACATACAATCTTTTTTCTCAGTTATGTCTTACTAAAAAATGTACGTTACTTTATTTATCTGAAAAAATATTAAACGGGCAAGTGGAGGTCACGTTTAATTTATCTGATTCAAATGTAAAAACTGTCTATTTTTAATAATTTATCTATTCTCGATTTATTATTCTAACGATGCCATAAAAATCAATATATAACAATATATAATTTTTGACGATACTATACAGCTATATTTTATTGATAATAAAATATATAAGTTTTTCTGTGCATTTAAAAAGCATAATTCGTTTAGTTCATTAAATACTTATTTTTATTATTTGGCAAAATAATAAATTATATCTCGTATTTGCTCTTAAAACTATAATTTTAATAACTTTATGTTTTATCTGTTAAATTATGTAAATTTTTTAATTTAGCAGCTTTAAAAATATTAAAATATTAAAATATTAAACTTACGGAATGTAATTTTAATTTATTTTCAAAATTTAATTTGTACAGTTACGCAATTTAAAATTTAAAAAAGTAACAAGTATTATAATAGTAAAATCAAAATAATAAATTATATAATGGTATAATAATAAATAATTTCGAACTAATCAAAATTAAAGCTTACGAAATTCTACAACTTTTGTAATGTTTGTTCTATGGTAATGTAAAACATACTTGTAAATATTTAGACTATCACATTAATAGCGTCTAAATGTTTTATTGTGTTTAAAATATAAATTTGAAATATAAATTTAAATATAACGGATAGAAATTGATAAATTAAATCCTTTATAAGTAAGCTACAAATTTTTAATTTTTTTAAAAAGATTTGTATACATTTATACATAGAAATATGATTATTTATTAAAATCTCAATTTCATGATAAAACGATGTATAATAATTGAATATAATTGAATGTAAATAGATGTAATTTTTTATAAATTAATTGTATTATTTGATTACAGACTGCTATCATTATAATATATATATTTATATTTTATGTATTCGAACTCAAACAATTTAACTGACAATAGAATCAGTAAGTTTAATCTCGTTTAATTTTAAACGATTAAACCGAAATTTGCTAGCGCGTTTTGTTATTGTGAAATATATGTTATTGTGAAAAATAAATTAACTTTGTAATTTGTAGTATATTATAAAAATTTATTATGCAATGTAACAAATTACGACACAATTAGATGAATAAAATTCGAAATTTTAAAATTATTTGAAATCTGAAACACACACACACACACATGTGCGAAACACACATACATGTGCCGTAAAATTTTTATATCTAATATATATTTTCAATAACATATTTTATTAATTTAAACTTTATTTAATTTAAACTCGCTTTACAGAATAAAATATACGGAGATACATTTATACGTACGTGTAAGTAGTGACAAACAATAATTTATTCAGTTAAAATAATTATTAATTATTTTAATGATTCATTGATTAATTTAATTACACTTCTTTTTTTAGTGTTTTTCTCAAGTTATAAACATTTGTATCCACGTCAGAGAATTTTGCTATTAGTAGTGCTTGACATATATGAATATTATTCAAATATTAACAACATTTAACAAGATTCCTAAAAGAACAATTATATTACGAAATAAAAAAAGCAATTGGGAATTAGCGCCGTAGACTGTGCGCGTTATTTATAAAAAAATCTATCGTATACTTAGGCGTTTACATTAAAATATGTACATGCTTATACATTAAAATATATACATGCTTCGAATAACTTTTTAACCATAATTAATGAAACGTTATAGTAATGTACACTTATTAAGATTATAAGATGTCTTTGGTCATGTCTTGTTATTTTTTATAATCCTTCAATAGACGAACGATTAACTCTCTATCTCATAAAGAGCGTGACCAGTAACATCTCATGATCTTAAGCATTTACGTACATTCAGAGCTGGGCATCATATATTTGAAATACTTTTATTTAAAACACAATATTTGCAACACAAGTGTACTTTGTATTTTATTTCAGCGAAGCGCATAAAAGTATTACGTATTTTGTATTTAAAATTGAAAGATTAAAAGTTTTTTGTATTTTGTAATTCAAATAATAAGTTGATTGTTAATCTTAGTATTTGAAGTATAAAATACAAAATGTAATTGTCTTACAAATACTATTTTTCAAATACACACCCAGCTCTAATACATTAATGTTTCGTTAATGACAGATAAAAAATTAGTTAAAAAACATATAAATATTACTATTTTCTTTATATAAAAAGATTACGACTATTTCAAGCCATCATAAAGTCTTATTATAAAAACATATAGCCCTTATAGCACAAAATTATTAGCTAATAAATATTTCTTAATTTAATACTTTTTTTTTAATTTAATTTAGGATTATACTTTCTAAAAATAATGATAAGAATACTTTTCTTTAAAATGTGTTTCTGTAATTTCGTAATTCAAGTTAAAAAGAGATTTAAAACGGATTAGAATATTTGGCATCGTTTGCAACTGTTATCTAAAAAATTATTAATGATAAATAGTCTGATGTTTTTATGATTCTAATTTAAACTATGAAATATTCACGTATCAACGATCATGTTCTGGCCTTCTTTCGCTCGCTATGATATATTGACATTTTTTTGTAAGCGAGCAGTAACAGTTTGTTATGATTAAATATATCCTAAAAGACTTTTAATCTGTGCGAATAATCTTTCTGTATTGGGAACCGAATTTGAGGCACCAAGTTCAGAATACCAATCTGAAATTTTTCCAGAACTGAAAAAAACTATGCCACTCGTATATTACTTTAGAAAATATTATTAAGCGACTTTATCATATAATCTAAAAATTGTTTATAATTTAATTTTTAAAGATTTTCTATAAATTACGTTATTGAAGATATAACAGCGTAATTACGGAAGAATGTACTGTATTGAAAAATTTTTTTAAAAGTTATTCCAAGTAATACTATTTTAAATATATAGAACTTTATTTTTTTATATAAATATAGACAGATGAAGAAATCATTTAGTAATATAAAATGTATCTCAAAGTAATATTACTTTTATTACTTTGTAAATGGGTTATATTCTTTCCTAGCACTTGTAATCGTTTTTTCTTACTTTTTGCTAGTTAGAAAATATTAATACTGTATTTTCAAAAAGAATATCTATTTGCACTAGGCTCTACTTATGCTAAGATCGGCCCTGCTTGGAATGAAACTATAAAACCATCAGAGTTGAGCGCTGTAACAGATATTTGTATTTCGAACGTCGATGTGTGTACTTCTTCGTGAATAAAGTCACTTTCAACGGATTCTTTAAACTGAAAGGAACATTAATATTCGTTTCAGTAGCAGATTTTTATTTCTAAACGATCTAATAAAACTCTGTTAAAGGAAGTGTTTTGGAGAAAGTGTTTCGGAAATTTAATCGTCTTTTCCACGTTAAAAGTAAGTAGAATGTGCAATTAAATTTTATTCCATTTCAAAGATATTCTTTATAGCAATTTAGATTTTCCAATTAAATTAAACTTATCGTCATGATTTGTCTGATTTTGAAAATCAAAATGAGAAATTCTTAAAGTAATATACGACGCTAAAATAGCATTATTCAATACCCACAACATTCGTCTATTAACGTTAATTATATCATCTAAAATGCCGCAATTGTTAAGCTCATCTCTATCCTCGTTTATCCAATACACATAGCGGCTACCGAAATCCCATTCTGACTCTCTGGAATATATACATGCGGGAGCGTGGTCAGACTCCTGGAATTCCTCCTTAGCCATACATCCCTTCCAATAAGCCGGCATCGGAACGCGGAGCCGCATCCCCTTCAGAATATTGATTAGCCATCATTTTCAGATGACGCCTACGTTCTGTTGGATATTCCTGTTGGTGTTGGCGTTGGTGGGCCGCGCTACGAGCGTACCAAGGCCTCTCACGGTCGACGCTTGCGCCCTGCTCTGCAATCCCGGGGCAGAGACTGAATCCGAGCGAGAGAGGGATGTGCGCCTATTTCCCCGATATCCCAAGGTAAACTGCAAGCTCCAGTCCGTCAGCAACGAGCATCAGTCGTTTGCTATTATGAGCCACTGTTTGAAACTGTGCGCTTACGAACTATCAATCGCGTCGGAAGTCAACTGTTTTGCTCTGAGATCATCCCTCCAAGCAAGTATAGGATGTTATTGTGATGCTTTAACACCCTTGAGTCCGAACACTATGCGCCTTCACGAAACTTGGCGGCTCAACTTTTTGGTAAAGGAGTTGGCGAGCGATATCATGAGTACGATTATAAAGTCACCTCTCGACGTAATCATCCTATGCGAGATCCGTAATGAACTGTTCAAAGATGCCAACATAATTCATGGACAGTTGCACGAAATATGTTCAAACCCAGAGAAGTCATCCAGCATGGATGACTCAACTGAAGACACTCTGATCAGTCATCCACGAGCAAAACGAAATATCGAAGAGAGTGAGACAGATGAATTCGACTATGACGACGGACCTTTGGAACTGGTTGAAGATATGCAGAAGGATGAGAACATAGAGTCGGTACCACGACATCAGGAGAAACGTGATTCGCCACTTCCCGATAATCTAGACTTGTCCAGAGAGCAGACTGACGAAGGTTTCTCCCACCAGGATCAGGACAACCCAACATTAGGTGAACATAGTGAAAACAATCCAAATTGCCATGCAGAAACGTGCGACCGACTTTTATAAGGAAGTCTGTCAATGTTAAATAAGTTAAAAAGCTGAACAATTATAGAACATACATAGACAAAAATAACAGACAGGAGAGAGAGTTTGCGTGAAGACCACGAATTTTCATATCTTGCATAGATCGTTAGTTTATAATTAATTTATTACGTAAAAGTGTTTCTCATTGTAATCGAAGAGAAGTAATCTGAAGCATATATGATTTTTCTTTCCGATTTTGTTATTCAAATTAATTTTTGTCCCAGCAGTTTAACGTATAATAATAATTATAATACGTAAGAGAAATTAACAAATTTTTTTTTTTAATAACTAATTTGTTATCTATTGTAATACATTATTACACATGCAAAATTCTAAAAATTACATAATATTATTGTTAGGCTAATAATTCAAACGCTATATAAAAATATTAATTTGATATTCTACATATAATGTTCCATTTATAAATAAAATTGTATCTTTTTATATTTTTAATATATCTTTTATATATACTTTTATATTCTTCTATTTTTATATGTATTTATATTTTTACACATATTTATATTTATTTGTTGATTTTTACTCTCATTTTTATATAGTCCGTACAAAAAGTTTAACGCAAAATATAAAAGTAAAATAAATTATTACAGAATAACTAAGAAAGTTAGTGGCAAACTTTGCACGTATGAATATAATTATGTGTAAAATAATATAATCACAAAGTATTAAGTTAATGATTAATATAAATGATAAGATTTTTTACTTAATATTTAATATTATAATCGCGCTTTAGGCCTAAGACAGCTCTACACAGGTCCAGTTCACACGGGGTTGCATTACATTTTCTATTTTTATTCAAAAAATACGACGCTGGAATTTTCATCGATTTCGCGTGATTTAATTAATACACAATTCTTTCAAGTATTTCAGATAATATGTAATTTTCCAAAGGAATCTAGTGCAATGAAACATGATCACTATGAAAATGTACAATTAAATGCATTTCGTTCGTTTAATTACTATTACAACATGTTAAGAAACAACTAAAAATTAAAAACTATAATAATGTATCCTAATAGATATTATTATTACGTTTTTACAATATTCTATAATATATCGTAGACATTGCCTTTTTATCCTACTGGGTATAATACGTAATTTAAATAAAAATATTTTTGTATATCTTTTATGTTTCTCATATATTAATTGGCTTATAAAAATATCCTAATAACAAATAATCTTTTCCTAATTGATAATTATAAATGGAAGATGGATACTTGTTCCCTAATAGATAATCTTTATCTAAACAGTGAAAAACTGATTTCATGAAGTTAATCATTTCAAATTTATTAATTATGTATTTAAAATTGCTATTTTTCATTAAAGCAAATTAATTATATCTATATATACGTCTATATTAAGACATAATAAACATTTAATCAAAAGGCTTGCGACGTGTGAGCAGGACATCGATGTGTGATATGTGTATTATGCAATAAATTCTATTTATATGCGCGCACGATATGCACGTGCATTCTCGCGCTAATTATAGTTTACATAAAGCAATTAATAATTTTTATACAACGATATAATATATACAATATGTAAATAAGCAAACGAAACAAAATCCACGTCTTCCACACTTTGTAGTTAAATTACTGTTTCTTGGCAACCGCTTTATATGATATTACTTAAACGATAAGTGTATACTGATAAAGCACAGATAATTTACTCGTTGTTTAGTGCGATAAGTCTTGGCCGGCATCAATACGTCGTCGATCGTCATCGACTGTGTGTTTCCAATCGGAAAACTATTAACCTTGTAAAATAAATAATTATTTGTATTGATCGTACAGCGAGTAATCGACGACGTGTTTGTTTATCGTGCCAAATTAAGAAGAAAAAGTTGTGACGCGACAATAAGACGTAGACTCTAATATGCCTATACGATGTATTTTAAATCGTATCGCGCTCTCAGTTTTCAATCGATAAACACACGCACATTTTAGCTCTGAGAACTTTTTAATAGCAGCAGACAAATGAAGAGAACGAGAATAATGATTAAATAGAATGTTACTTGTTGAATGTCTAAGAAGAATGTTATAATTGTAATTTAATTATGTATGTATAATAATACTGAAAAATCGATTGATCATCGAGAGCGTGATTAAATTTGGCTCTAATAATTGATTATCTTATACTATAATGTATATGTAATTATTTATATGATTACTTATAATTGTATATATACATATAATAATTATATTTATATAAATATTTGTATTAGTCTATTATTACTCTATTGCATATATATTGTAATAACATAAAAGGAAAATACAATGTTGTCGTATCACTTTCTCTCATATTTTTACCCATGTATATCATAATTATATAATCTGCTAAAATCACTTTTTGTAACTAACATGATATAGCGTTATATTAAATGAAACGCTATTATCTTAAACAATTTTTAAATTAAATAAAGTAACTGCTTAAAATATTCATGCATTGACTCATGCGGATAGTTCAATTCCTTTTAAAACACAACCTTTTTGATTATATTTATATTACTCACGTCAATATTATTAATTATATACATATATGTCGTAAACGTTTATTGTGTCTACTTAATTATGTAATAATAAATATGTTATTTATAACAAAATCTAAAAATTCTATTATTATTTTATTACCTTTTTTAACAAAAATTGAAGTATCTTATGACTAATAATATAACAAATTTGCGACAATGTTAATTTGAAAAATAATCTTCTTTAAATAAATAATCTTTTTTGTTTATAATGGAAAAATAATATTGAAAAATTAATATTGAAAGTTCTAATTATTATATCATATGCTGAAAATATAGTAAAGCCTTTTATCGACCGATGCGATGAGAATATCATACTTAGGAAAAGTAATAGTACTCGATGATAACTTATCTGTGATGAAGGGTATAAGTCCTAGGACTTTTAAATTAGATGGCTAACTCTGAGAAGAGATGTTATATCGATAACAGATATAGATACTATTTTAATACCATTTATTGGTATTATTTAAAAAATTAAATTTTAAAAAAACGAAGAGAATTTTATTTATCCAACTACCTCTATTCTACTAATCAATAATTTGTTTTATTCTTTTTATCAAAATTACGTACATATATACCCAGAAGATAATTTTTTAAATAATAGTTAAAACAATTTGTAATTCTTCATATTTTCTAATTATATATTTAAATCATATTAGATGTCAATGTGTTAAAAAAAAATTAGTTATTAAAAAATTACTTTTTTAATAAATATATTGTTTAAACTTTTAATTTCTTATAAATAATAAAAGAACTATACTTTTTATTATCCAGAAGCTCATAAGTAATAAAATAATGAAACTTAAATTTCTGTTAATAATGTATTTTACAGTAAAGTATTTTAATTCAATTGTTTAATAAAAACCATAGTGTTAAATAAAAGTAGATATTAATCTTAAACTATGATACTTTATTAAGTTTTTCCACGATTATATATGGTCTATGTAATACGTTCGAACATCTTTATTTCCCTGAAGTAAAAGGCAATCAGGATGGTCTTTAATCACATTACACTTTCTGATAGCTTATTATCTTTTTCACACACTACATTCTTAGAACATAGACTACTCTCTTATAAAAGCCGTTCTAACCATCGAAGAGGCATCAGTCGAGTATTGTCTCTCGGATACACCCCGTTCATTCAGGTAAAAACGTCACTTTTAATTATAATAATTATAAGTAAATATAAATTCATATAGTCTTTCTTATTTTCACATTATGTATTTTCTTCCTCTGTGTATAAATTTTGTAAAACTTGAACGAATCTATGATTTCACAAACTAAAGTATTTCAGATTTTTCAATAATTCTTCAATTTCATAGCGTGACTTTATGTGTTATTTTTATACAAGTTGGTCATCGTCAGTTATTACGAATTTTGATATTTCATGATAAATCAATACCCTCTTGGACGAACTTGTGACGTTACTAGCAAATAACGTAGGTTGACTGCGTTTGATAGAGACATTTGTCTTCGAGTCATTTCTCCGAGTATAAAAGCTCACAGCTTTTGCGTCGCTCGTAACATTCAGTGACCGAATCTTCTAAGAATCACGCAAGTTCTTTTCGTTCTTTCAAAGAAGAGTAAGCTTTTTTCGTTCTACATTGAACTTTATTTATTATAAACTTTTTTAAAATTTATTATTATTGTTTATTTCTAATTATTAAACTGATGATTTATTTATGACAGTAAATAAAATGAGATAATAATTATAAAAAATTATTCCTATAAATATTCACTAAATTCTTCATTTTTTATTTCAGACGAAAATAGATCAACGCGTCGACATGGTTTCCATTCGCCTTATCCTGACTTTCGCTGTTATCATGGTAGCCTTCGTCATCAGTGCAAACGCTGCGTATAAAAAACCACCTTTCAACGGTAGCATATTCGGCAAACGATCTAACACGGTGACTGGTAAGTACCTCTATAAAATATTTATAACAAAATTTAATTTTATAAAGAAAAGGCCAGTTTTAAAGCTTGAAATAAATTTATGTTAAACTTTAATATTTAACATAAATAGATAAAACTAACTCCATCTGTTTTAAATGATTTACATTAGAATATCAATTAATATATTTTTATTATATAGCATATTATATATATATAAAATACTTAAATCAGATCTGTATTTCCTGTGCCTCTTTCATCTGATAAATTCCTTTTTACGTTAAAAATTATTCAAAGAATTTTATCGATCTTAAAATACCTTTTGCTTACAAATAACTGCAGTTTACAGAATTTTATTGCATCAATTTATATTGAGACTGATTATTTTTTATTATTTTCCAAAAAATAATCAATAAATTGTTTTTTTTTTTTTTTCAGATTATGAAGTTACCAGCCGCGCTCTATCAGCGATTTGCGAAGTCGCCAGTGAAACCTGTACTGCTTGGCTGTCTCATCAAGAATCCAACTGAAGATGAAAAACCGACCGAGATAATCCATGATTCTCGCCAACTCTGATCGACTCATGAAACAATGTAACTAACCGACTCCTGTAAAGTACCTGCAATCATGCGCTTAAAAGTTCGTCACATTGTCTTCTATCAATAATCGTTTCATTACGCGTCATATATTTAATCGTAACTTTATACATAAACAATATTGTAATTACGATGGTTTAAGTTTTCACGATCTAGCTTTATTTATCAAAAGTATCCCAAATAAAGTATTATGATTTCAAGAGCTATTTAGTATTTAAATTATTTTTACCTTCTATCTTTCAATACACAAACAAAGGCATAAAAATATTAACTAATTCTCAGCAGGTAATTAAAGTTTTTAAAAGCACCATTAATACTTTGATAGCTAAATTTAAGTTTGTAAAAAAAAATGAAATACAATCCGACTTCCAAGATGATAAAAATTCATTGTTTTGACAAGTATACTAGAATTTCTTTAGATTTTTATATCCGAAACAATGAAAAATTTGCTGTTTCTCGAAAACTCTTATTGCTGACGGAAGAGTTCAAATTTATGTTGTCGATTTCATGTTAAAGGTTTAATATTTATTTTATAATACTAACTATAATAATTATTTATCTTTATTTTCATTTAAGTTATTACACAGTAATATAGCGACAATTTTTTAAACAATTATGTAATAAAGTAATTACCAACTATTCTTATAAAATAGTCTAATATCTAAAGTAATAAAGCATGTATTTAACGAAATGTTTAATTTGAGTAATTTGAATAACTATAAGAGTTCATTGCGATTCAGTTAATTATAAATTAGAAGCAATTTGATATGGAAAGCACGTGCCATTCACCTGCTCGAATAAGGGTTATTGTCTATTGTCTACTGCTGAAAAAACATGCAATACGAAGCAACCGCAAAAGTATTGACACATATTTGATTTTATCACTTTATAAATATGGGTACAATATTTTATGTACTATACATAAATATTCTACTTATAAGTATTCAACTGCAGTAACAAAATCGTGTTGATAAAAAAATTTTGCTTTTACAATATTAAATTTAATTTTCAAGTAAGTAATGTAGCAATAATCATATTCTGCAGAAAATTGGTTGTATGTAAATTGCATTGTATGTTAAAATGCGCAAAAATGATTTTTCTTTTAGAGTTTGTTAAGAATTTATGTCAAATTAAAGTATGAGGTACTTCACTTGTGGACGATAAATATTCCGCTGATAAAAGCCAGCCGAGAAATTTATTCTCGGTACTGTTAAAGACAAACACATTGGTGTTAATTTACAAGACGTACATGAACTAAATATTTAATTACTCTTTAATCAAGTATAAATACGCTGAGCCTAATGGAGTTAAGTTCATTGTATTCAGTTTATCTTCAGGTAAAGAAATATTTTTCGTTATTATGCTGATTCGTTATTATACTGATTCGTCATTATGGATCTATCTTTCTATTAAATTTCGATTTTTACAAAAAAAATCTACAGTTCTTAACATTATATCTCCGTGATATTAAATTAGAATAACCAATATCTTTCTCATGATTTTCAAAGAGAAGAGCAAATATTATATCTCTGAATATATAATATATGCTCTTTTTACAGAATATTAAAGCAAATCGTTTAACAGTTAAAATAAATATTTTTATTCGCAGCGCTTGTAACTAAAATAGCTATTATTATATATGTTTAATTAACTATCTGAAATAACAATATTATTTAAAAAATTATTTTTAAGGTCTGGATTATTCCATAGATTAATTTTCAATGCCGTTACTTTCTCTATTATTCGAAAAAATTAAATATCTATATATAGAACTTCCAATTTCTCACTGAAGACGTTCAATCGCGCGTTGGCGATTACGGAAACTCTTTATTTACTTCTATTCATGCAATTGCATAGTGTCAAACATCCTACGAGGCATCAGTTCTATAGAATGCATTTTACTCGCACGAGTGCACGGTTGAATATTTCTGTACGTGTTACGCGAAAGAGGACAAACAGTCAGCGTGATTCAAATACGATGAGGTTTCACGACGTGCAAACTTCTCGTCGATTCTCCTTCGCCCACAGTCCTCGAGCACTCCGGTCCACTCTTCGAGATAATGGAAGAAGCCATACGCGTACGCGAAAAATCGCTCAGTGTTCGCCGAATACCCGCGAGACGCGCATCCTTTCCGCGAGAATCGGCAGATTTCTATGGCAGTCATTTATGTGTCGACCGTGATCGAGAATGCCACGTCAATTAAAACACGTTCACCTGTTAAATTAATTGTTGCGTCTGATTCTAAAGCGTGTAATCGATGTGATGTGCAAAGGGTGAAGTTGCTCTTGAAGACTGAACTCCGTTTGATTCATTACAGGCACTGAACTGTTACTTTCTCGAAATGATGCTGCAGAGGGTGTGTGCTCGACGAATCGGAGGTGTCTTTTTTAATGGTAAATAAAATAATATCTTTACATGTCGTATAAATTTGCAAACATGATATATGTATGTTTAGTGCTTGTCTAATTATAATACGTCTAAAGAATAATGCCTTATCTATTTAAATATTAAAATGTTCAATATTATTTTTTGTGCAATGTGAATATTCAGCTTTTCTCATTGGAGCCGTCATGTTATTAATATGTGAAAATACCACAATTGCGGAAGAAGTACCAGCATTCTTCTTGAAAATCGCCAAAATACCAACTTTGCCGAGAGTAGGTCGAAGCGGAAGATTTGAAGATTTCTTTTATAAAGCTGAGAAGCATATACCCCGAATTGGTAGAAGCAATCAGTACAAACAGGTATCTAATTATTGGAACTGACGTAATTATTGCAATCTTTTTTGTATTATTGTATATTTTTAAGATCATTTATGTAATAATTATTGTATAATAATTATACTAAATAATTCCTGAATTGCATTTTTTAAGTCAACCAACCCTCTATTGCTGCAAAACGAACAGGAAACTTACTCCGATTTAACTAAAAGGCGCATAGATTATCCTTCAAAAGGTTAGCAATTTCATTGATACATTTCTTCGTATTATATCTAATTGAGTAATCCTACGCCTTGTTTTTTCTTGTCAGTTGAAGAATGGTCCTGGCAGAACTTTCCTCTAGCAATCGAAGGTCCAAAAGAACTGTGGCGAGCATTAGCTGGATATTCAAGAGATGGTAGCGATGAGTAAGTTTTATAAAACCAGATTGTGGAAAAAAATATTTAATTTACTAATTGATATAATTTAATACTTAAAAAATATTAAAATTTATTAGAATATACATATGTGTATATATTTTGTTTATGAGATTGAGATGTTTGTTTGAAACACGCTGAGTTTTATGTAATAATTTTGGAACTTTTTATTAATAATTATTTAATTAATTTAAGCATCGAAAATGAAGTGTGGCAGAGGAATAAAAGGACTGGATCAGCAATCACACAAACAAAATAATAAAAAACCAGAAATTATTTGTCGCTTTGAAGAAGTTAAATAATATACAGCTTTTGTTATTATATGGTGACGGGAAATCATTAAAATTAATAAATACGTAAATATTAAGTGGCTTCATCGTTCTTCAATTTTTTTGCACCAAATGGAGATCTCAATAAATAATCAATCTTTTAAATTAATTGTAAGACTTAATTTGTTTCAAATTATAATGTATTAGCAAAATTTGACAATTTACTAATAGAAAATATACTAATTGTCTAGAATGCAGATTAATAATATTGTACATTTCATAATCAAACAATTTTTCTGATTGTTCTTATCAATGTGAGAATATTTATCCGTAGGCAATGAAATCTGGAAAATTTTTATTTTTCCTTCTCTTGTTCCTATAGTATCCCGAATAGAAAACTTAACTAATACAATTTTTCATTACGATTAATTCTGTAGTATATATTATGTTTTATACATTACTTTTTGCATTACTAGCATATTATATATCTCATGTACAAAAAGACAATTTATTTTAGATGTAATTAATATTTTTAATTTTATATTTCGTTTAACTTTTAAAATCCTTGGTACATTTAAATTAAGATGTTTACCTATCATAATTAATGATAAATATAATATAAATATAATATTATTAACAAAGAAGTAATAAAGTAAAATTAATTAACTATAAGAGAAAATAAAGGAAAAATATACCTGCGTACCTAATACAATAACATATATTGACACCGAAATTATAGACTAAGATAGAAACAGATTGCAAAAATTGCAGAGAAAATTTGTTCCGTTCCCTCTTTCTATATGCATTTTGCTTAATCTGATACACTGTGTTTTTTTACGGGTGTTTGTAATTTCCACGACTTATGGAAAATTGCCGACGAACCCATACTTATAAGAGACCAACTTTTTCGATGCATGGCAACTTGCGCGACAGTTGTTCGCTGAAATTGCATATGCGAATCCCCTTATCTTCGCGTCAGTCGTGCGACAAATAATAATATTCTATAAAATTCCCGAAAACGTGCATGTAACAACTGAAAATCGACGTAATATTTAGGTTGAGTTGCATTTACGCTCACAACGCAGTGAAATTATTTCATCCTTGTTGTTTATCAAATGTTAAACAAGGATAGATGATATTTGCGAGCGTGTGAGCGTCAAATGGAACGCACCCTTTAGTAAAGAAAAGTATAGCTATATACATAAATGCATATTCCCCGACAAATAAATTTCGAGACGCACTGCACGTAACACCGCGAGGCATCGTTTAATGTGATGAGTACGAGATGTTGATGAGAGATATACAACGACAGATACTGATAAATAGGAAAGTGGTAGGCAATTCATAGACAAAATATAGTTTTCGTAATAATAAATGCGTGGTGACCTCCGGTTATCACGATCGCGAGCATCGTTTCTTATTAGAAACAGCTTAGACTTTGTATGAGGTGAAAACGGTTATTATTAACGAGAGAGCAAAATCTCCTATGAACATGTGATCATTTCCCAGACATGAGATATTCAAGCGTAGGTGGGCTGGACTGTGATAAGGAATCGTTTTAGTACCTGCAAAGAGAGAAGCTTGAGAATGGACGTGCACGAGTTTTAGATGGAACTTATTTATTAGAGCATCTAATATATGCACAACACGTACACATTAACCTGTACAGTCATGGATATGTCTGGAGGGTAAACATGGACATATCTAAAGAGTAACAAATCTACGGTCTTGGATTTTCTTCCGTGTTACGTATATAGTTCTATTTCGTAATATGTCCACAAAATATAGGTA